TATTTAATCTTTGTTTCCAGCATGCTATACTCGGCAAAACAAACAGGATACACTTTGTACCCTTAAGTACTCTTTCTGGTAGTGTGCACAAATACTGATTACACCCCTGCCTGTGGCTCCCACACTGAAAGCAAGGTTGTAGCTGTCTGGACTCTGAAATGACTGAAGGTCAGACCTGTTGAACTCTGTCTTACATGATACATTTCAATAATCACTAGCCACACTAAGACTTTAGCTCTCCTATTATGTAGTTAGGAAAAGCAATTTTCTACCTGGCCCATATAAGTTCAGATTGAATTAACCCTAGAAATCATCCCATCTTATTTCTATTTCATCCCATCTGAACATAATCACTACCTAACATTTCCCAGGCCACAAACAGATAAGCTATCGTCCTGAACATTTGTTGTGAACAGATGCAAGTTCATTGCCTTTCCAGGAAGGCTCTGGAAGCCTTTTCCAACTCCGTAACCTTCCGGTATTAGGAAGTTGTTTTTTTTTTTTTTTTAGACTGAAATTTGTATTCCTCTTCTACCTATTATACAAATTCTGCCACCTTTAGTCAAAGAATTGTCCAATTGCTCTGTTGAAGGGTTGCTCTTCAGGTATTTAAAGTAAGGTCTCATGTTCCTCAGCACCTTCTCCTGTCAACCTTTGCTCTTGTCATTTCTAGACTTTCACCTTCCTAATCCTCCCCACATGTGCCCGTTTGATGTTTAAAGTGAGGTGTCTATGCCTGAAAACAAATCTTCCAGAGTAGTACCAGTGTTTCCTCTAGTGACTAATAAAAAAGCATTTTTGGTGGGCATTGCTCTGTCAGCTCATACTAACTATATGCCATTTACCAAAGGTTGTATTTTTCATGTAACATTTTGGCCACATCCCCTTGGAGGCTGATTTTTTAAAGGCCCGTTACTTATATTTAGCTTTACTAAAATTTGTATCTTAGTAGAGTTAGTTCCATATTATCAAAATGTTGGGATCTTGACTCTTACCTAGAATATTTTCTGTGCTGTCAGTAAATTGAGACAAATACTGTCTGGATTCTCATCCAAGTAATGACAGATAACTGGTACATTAAAAAAGCCTGCCTGACCCTGACATTTCAACCCTGAAAGAGCTTTCAGGATTGAGATAGCCACACTTTCACTTGGCATATAGTTGTCTACCTTATATTTTTACATTCTGGCCCCAAATACGCTTTTTCAGTTAATCCACATTTATGCCAGATAAACAAGTAATCATGTTTACTTAACATTTTCTCCTGCTCCACTGAAATCGTGATAAAGTTACTACTACAGTTTCCTGTGCTACCCTGTAAGAAAATTAGGGCCGGGCATGGTGGTTCATGCCTATAATCCCAGCATTTTGGGAGGCCAAGGTGGGTGGATCACGAGGTCAGGAGTTTGAGGCCAGCCTGGCAAAGACGGTGAAACCCCATCTCTACTAAAAATACAGAAGTTAGCTGGGCATGGTGGTGCACATCTGTAATCCCAGCTACCAGAGAAGCTGAGGCAGGAGAATTGCTTGAACCCAGGAGGCAGAGGTTACAGTGAGCTGAGATCGTTCCACTGCACTCCAGCCTAGGCAGCAGAACAGGACTCCATCTCAAAAAAAAAAAAAAAAAAAAAAAGAAAGAAAAAGAAAAAGAAATGAGATCTTCCTGCCATCACATTTTCTTTTGCCTGCATTTGGCCTCAGGGGCATGTCTCTCTTTTTAAAAGGATCAAACCCATTTTCCGCTGCATTTTCTGATGTGGTCTGTTGATTGGGCCAGGTATTGCCTAATTAGGACAAGCTCTGAAATCCACCCTTGCATAGTTCTGCCACGTCCTTCGTACCTCATTGTGCTAACATTAGATCAGTGAAGCCACTCTCTGTAAAGTAACTTAGAAGAAGATAGGGTTCTAAATATAAGAACACAGTGGATAAGGTTTTATTCAGGACATTTTGGGTGTGATTCATTTTTCTCTACAAACTACAAGTCACTTTCCCTATTTGGACCTACTTTCTTCTTTTATAAAATGAAAACCTCTGAGGTACCTTTCAACATGGTCTCACTGATTCCAATGAGTCTGTGTTGTTTTTTGTTTTTTGTTTTTTGTTTTTTGTTTTTTTTTTTTTTTTTTTTTTTTGCTGAACACTATATAATTAATTTTTAAATTCACCCTTTTTTGCCAGACAGGCAAGAAGGTAATATTATTATCATAACAACTCTGTGAAGTAAGTGGTATCATCCCCTTTTTACTCATGAAAAAAACCTGAAGTTTAATTAGATTAAGAAGCACCCACCATTAGTAGCTGGGAAGCGGCATTGCAGGGCTGTGGAGCCAGGTAGCTAACTCCAGTAGCCGTGTGCTGGCTGCTTCACTGCTGTAGGCTACTTATGCTGGATGACTATAATGTACACAGCATTTCTTTTTAAAGTACATTATTAGTTATTGTCCTCTACGGAAGGGCACAAGTAAAGAAATGGTCTCTTCCTACTACAGAGTAGAAGCTGCTATCTTTGTGACCACATGCCATAGAGTACCAGAAAGGTTTTTTTCTCAGATACTGTCTTGCTGTGTAAATGTTTAACCCACAGTATCCTGCACTGATAAGTTTGTGGGTTTAATATGAAACTCATAAAGGGAAGTGCTGTATCAGATGGAGTTAATAAATCTGCATTTTTATAACTTTAATATTGTACCCTTTGAGCTGCACTTTAAAATATAAGACAACCTTTTTTTTTTTTTCTTTTTTTTTTTTTTTTTGAGACGGAGTTTCGCTCTTGTTACCCAGGCTGGAGTGCAATGGCGTGATCTCGGCTCACCGCAACCTCTGCCTCCTGGGTTCAGGCAATTCTCCTGCCTCAGCCTCCTGAGTAGCTGGGATTACAGGCACACGCCACCATGCCCAGCTAATTTTTTGTATCTTTAGTAGAGACGGGGTTTCACCATGTTGACCAGGATGGTCTCGATCTCTTGACCTCGTGATCCACCCGCCTCAGCCTCCCAAAGTGCTGGGATTACAGGCTTGAGCCACCGCGCCCGGCCAAGACAACCTATTTCTATAAGTTATACGTCTTACATTGAGATACTGGAAATTCAAAGAACTGTTTGAGATTAAATAAATGTTTTATTATAATCTAGAGACAACAATCTAGGTTCTTTGGAAAGTCACAATTTCTTAAAAGTACTAATTTAAAAATTCAGGTTGCTGCTGAAGGGTTTGAGCTACATTAGGTACTTAAAAAGTATATATCATAACTAGAATGAAAGTATCAGCTTAGAATCTGATGGTTACAGTCATGGTGATTATGTAGTTGGACAACCAAAAACCAAGAGTTACTGGCTCATGCCAAAATGTGGTTTGACTTAATACAAAGGGCATATCCCCAAAAGTGAAAACTACAGAAAACCCAAATGTCACTTTAGTCCCAGAGGTAGGTCAACAAGGGATAAGACGCATTTAGTGAATGGTGGAGAATGGGCTGCAATCCACACTAATGCCAGGAAGCTACTCTGTGGCAGAGAACGCCCTCCGAAATACAGATCACCCAGGGTCATGAAAAAGAGGGGTCATTAAGAAAAAGAAAATGAAACATAAAACTTATTTTTGAAAATCCTGATACTCACCTGAAAGGTGTTTCTTGAGTGATGTTATCTTTTTAAAGTTAGGTTGTTTAGACAGTCTCACCCTGCTTAACTATAGTCAGACTTCCAACACTGCTAACCCTCCAGGACACCAGGGAGAAAATGAGCCCAGATGGGGATTACGGGGCAGAGGGATCAGAAAGACACTTCTAAAGCTTCCCTTCCAAGCCATTTACCCTTTCTAATCTCACACTTCCTACTAAGTATATTTATTTGGGCATTTATCCCATAGCCCTCTCTAGAGAAATCATTCTAACCTTGGGCCAAACCTATCACTGATTCTGTATGGATTCCATCTGAGGTGCTCCTCTAAGACTGTGAGGCCATATACCCCTCAGGTTAGGAGTGTCCCCCCTCTGATTGCAGCTGTCTCATTGCCAAATGACCCACCTCCATCCCCACCCAGTGATCCCAGTTCCCAGGTGTGTCATGTCACTGATCTTTCTGCACAGAAAGATCAAGTTCTTGTTCCTGAGAAATATAACTACTTGTGTATAAGCACATGCTCCTATTTTGTGTGTGCCCATGTGGAGATCAAGGGGCTAAGATGAAATACTCAATATTTGATTCCTTTAAAATAGGCTATGCAGGTATTATGATGAAATCTTAAAAGATTCCTTATACTTCTATAAGGAACTCCTTGTCAAGAAAAGTACTTTTAGCACTTAATATATATATACTCTAGGAGCACAGAACAGAGCTTTTCATTCAAGTTTTAGGTACAGAAGCTTTCACTCAAATGGCAAAATATGGGGTCATTGTAAAGTCATTTGCTTTTTAGAATCAAGAAGCAAAGCAGGGTACTTTGAGTTTTAAAGATATATACCCTGAAAATAAAGGACAACAAGTGCCGGGGGAGTTAGGAGTGCCCTGTCTTCCCAGGCCTCAGCACCAGGCTTCTGACTCTGTGCAGTTCACAAGACTTCGTTGTTGCCAGCAGCAATCTGAATCTGGGTGGGTGCTTCTCTGAGAGCCAGGGTAAAGAAGGGGACAAATGTCATGATTCACCTTTATTTCTTAGTGGTGGGAGCAGTCAGGATTTCCTTATAGATTACTAACCAGGAAATCCCAGTTGCCCAGCAGCAAGGGGTTAAAAACCATTCTGAAAAGCTTTTTATGTTCTGAAAAGTTAAATTACACATACATGAAAACCACAAACACATAGCACCTGGGTAAATAAACTGTGGCCAAATAAAGACCAGGCTATTTGCAGAAGGGAATCTGGAAAACATTTGTTTTTGGTTGGGTAACATTAGTTACACTTAGGCCTTTTTTTCCTCTAAAGAAAATAGTGTGGTTTAGAAGAAATACGAAAAAAAAAAAAAAAAAAAAAAAAAAAAAACCAGAATTTTAATATGGCTATTGAAAACAAGATTTCAGTTCATTTACTTTCTAAATCTTAAGGGGCTACCAAGATTGACAGGAGCTGAAATGCAGCAACACTTTTAGTACAGAAGTTGTTAAACAAAGAACATTTCCCAGACATGGAATGTGCTATTGGATACAGTGAAGAGGTCACTAAACATTGCTTGTCCTCCAAAGCTTGTCCTCCACTGAGACTAAAGCATCAGTGGTAAATGATAGGAGCTCAGATAATTAAGATTTAAAATGCCATAAATTCAAAATGATTGAACTTCACAAGAAGCCAAATTTCCTGGTATAATACAATTTGAGCACTCAGGAAGTCATGATACAGAGGAGTTATGTTGAGCATGTTTCTTATCGGTACCTATGTGGCTAAGTGTTTCCTTTTCCTTGAAGGAAAAAAATCATCTCATTATGGCAGAAGTTCTCTACCCTTCAGAAGAAAGCTACTAGTTTGAGCCATAAGAAACTGCTAGTTTTGTACATCAAAAACTGTCAAAATCAATAATTTCATATGATTCAATCTAATACTCTTGATTTTTCTAAGCCAGGTCAAATTAGGTTGACAGTTACTTTTTGTGGAGAGAGAGGAGTGAGGAGTGGGAAATCAAATAGTAAAGCTCTTCTAAGTTTCAGAAAATAAAATGCCTGATCAGAATTTATGTGGTTCCCAGTGGGAACTCCAAAAAATCATTGGGAGTTGTGGACATGAAATGAATGTTACAACTCAGAATTGACCTTTTTGGCCAGGCCTGGTAGCCAAGATTTTTTTCCTATCCAAGAGGTTACAACATGGAAACACTGTATATCCAGCATATCCTAAATTGCAAACACAAAGGTAGGAATTAAGAAGGGAGTTCCAGCTGGACCCAGTGATTTGTGCCAGTAGTCCCAGCTACTTGGGAAGCTGAAGTGGAAGTATTGCTTAAGTGCAGGAGTTAGATACCAGCCCGGGCAACAAACATAATAAAACCTCTGTCTCTTAAACAAACAACCAAACCCCTGAATTCTCAGGATACCTGTTATTTGTCACAGAGATAAATATTTAAAAAGTTATTATGGAAAATAGCAACAGTGTATTTTGTACATATATGTATTAAAGGGAGCAAAAGAAAATCAGGGAAAATTGTTCTTTGATAATTGTTCATTGTCTCTACATTATAGCGCCATAATTTTGTTAAGGCAACAACATTTTTTACTGACTTTTGCTTGTTAAAAAATAAAATAAACACTTACAACCTAAGGAATTTTGGTTAGGTGAAGCATTATATCCATAATAGAAAACACTGCCAAAATATCCTGAAGTCTATATAAAAAGCATGCATTACAAATTAATGTGAGAGTAAATTGCGAGAACAGAACACACAATCCCTGAAATGATTAAAGACTGCTCTTAACTACTACTGAGATACTGCTTGGCCCCTGAAAGAGGTAATCCTTGTGCAAAGGCCCCTCAAGCTGCATCACAGCACAGAATATGACAAAGGAAAGGAAAAAAAGTCATTACAACTTCTGATAGAAACATCTCTCATAAGTTTGGATTTTTTCCTAACTCCTTCTGGGGTAAAAGTTCTTAGAATATTTCACTTTGTGGAAAATTTATCAGCAGCAAAAGTTTTAGCTACTTATTATTTTTTTTATAATGTCTAAGTGTACAAAGCTCAACATGTAACAAATACAAAGATGCCAAAAGTTAAAGCAATGCAAATTTACATAATAAACCATTTGATAAATGCCATTATCAGCTATTACTATATATTCCATCCTGTAATCTCATAAATCAAAGCTTTTAACTGCCTAGACTCATATGTGACTGTATTCTTTCCAACATGCATTCTTTCTTCTTCCAGGGGTTGCTCAATAACAGCAGGTATGTTTCTGCCATGAAGTTCACAGTGTTCTAGAAACTGGACACATTCTTGAATAACATTGTCATGAACCATCATTGTGTGTTTTGACATGTTTTCTAACAGGGACAGGAAGCATCTTTTGGCATAATACCAGGTATCTGTTCCCAGCTTTTTATTATAAGGCTCCAAACTTTTGATAACTCGAGAAATACCAAACTCATAGTTTCCTTTGGCGCAATAAAGAGTTCCTATCACCAAATTCACAATGCAGAGATGGTACATTTTCTTATCTGGGTCATCATAAGAGAGCTGCTCTTCCTCCTTTTCAATTTTCCTCATCAACTCCTCTGCTTCTTCATTTTGACTTGTCATAATATAGGAAACACAGAGATTAGCCAGTACAATAGCACTGACACTCAGAATGTTATCATAATGCTTCTTAACTATGGGTTCATAGAAACCAATGGCTTCTCTGTATTTGTTTTCCTGCATGAACAGAACGTGGGCCACATTCAGCTTCCACACATCATGGTCATTACAGAATTCCACAGATTTGCGAAAGATCTTCTCCACCATTGCATAATTTTCAAGGTTCCAGTAGATTTTTGCCTGAGCCATCAACACCGGAATATACTTCTCCAGGGTTTCATCATATTCATTCACTGCCTTTTTGATAGCTTCATCATCTCTATTGTGTCTTGCTTCCTGTACTTGTATGGTGAGTTTCCGGAGGACCTCAGTCAGCATCCCTGCTAGCCCATCAAGCTTAAGGAAAGCCTCTTCAGGAGCTGTCTGGCAAGTGATCATGGCATCCAAGAAGTCATAGAGATAGGGTGTGAGGAACTTGTAAGTCAAATGGGCATTTTCTGCCAGGACATCTGCTGCAAGGTCAAAATACTCATATTTACAGTAGAGCAGCAACAGGTTGCCAAAAGTCTCTGGGGGAAAGGGATTCTGTTGGAGCAAAAACTGTAGCTTTTCAAACCCTTCTGTAGGCCTGGCATCCATGTTCATTAGTGCCTGGTTGTGCAGAGTCACAGGGTCCAACTCTTCCTCTGCCCTGGGTGGCATGTCAGTGAGGGCTTCTTGAGCTGCCTCATAGTTTCTCAACTGGTATTCTATGGCTGCCTTAAGGTTGAAGGCTTCCACCAAAGCAGTCTGGTGGAGGACTAAGGTGTTGCCAACACTGCGAACATCAATGCCCTCAGTGGTCATGCCCACACCTAGCTCAGGGTGCTGGCGGATACCGTGCTCAATAATCTCAGCGATATGCTTCAGCGCTGCAGCATACTGCCGGCTGCTGTAATAAGCCAAAGCCAGGTTGTAGGAAAGGTCAGGTTGGTAGCCCGAGGCCTGCAAGGCCGCAAAAAACTTGGAGCAGGCAGCTTCATACTGTCCCTCCTTGTAGAGCAAACAACCCAGGTTGACCTGGCCATCGGTCTCATTCTCGACCCCACTATCTTCTCCCCCTTCCCCACTCAGCAGCTGCTCCACCAGGCTCCTGGACCCTGGCAGATCGCCCTCGCTGTATTTGATGGCAGCTTGCAGGCGGAGGACCCGGCTGTGGTAGGCGGGGTTATCCAGGAGAAGGAAGGCGACCCGGTTGGCCTCCGGATAAAGGCAGGCCTTGTACAGGGCCTGGGCCTGGTACAGGCGATACTGCTCCAGGTCCGGGTGCAGCTGGCTCAGCTGCTCATAGCACTCGGCCGCCAGCCCGAACTCCTGCAGGCGGTAGTAGCAGTAGCCCAGCAACGACAGGCCGGCGCGGCTCCGCGGGCTCCGCTGCTGCTCTCGGCCCAGCAGCTGCACCGCCTCGGCGTAGCGGGCATCGCGGATGAGCCGGTACACGACCGCGGTGAACTCCCCATCGGGGATCTGCGCGCAGCTCAGGCCGGCCATATCCGCCACGGCAGTTATGTCTGTGGTTACCACGGCAACACAGCAACCGGAAACGGAAGACTGCCGGTTACTTTGCTGCAAGAAATCTGTTAGGAATAAAAAGGGACTGTTGTCATCAGTCTCTCAAGTTCGGTTTGGTCTTCAAAGATTCTGGACTGCAGAGTGGCAGCAGTCAGGTGGGGAAAAGCTACTTCTCCGGGCCGTTCAGAAACCGAACCTACCCATCTCGGCATGCACTGTTCCGGTTGCGCCGCGGCTTGGGTGATGGCCGCGCTGCATGCTGGGAGGTGTAGTCTCTGTTGTACAGACCAGCCCCGCAGCCCGTGGGAACACAAGGTCGTCGCCCTCCTTCTCTGCTCTTTAAAATTGAGATGCGCTCTCTGTGTGTGTTGTGCCACCTCGGTGTCTGGCGCGACGGAGGAAGGTTTCTGACCCGACGTTCCTGGCGATTTTGAGCCTTGTGCACTATACTGGCTTTTGGTTTAGTTTTAGTAAAAGGACCTGGGTGGCAAAAAGCGAGTTATCTTTTTGAATTCCCCTAGAATAAGAGCAGGTTCTTTTTAGGCTCCCCCGAGGGCACAGTTTGTAAGAACAGAATAGAGCTCCGAACAGGAATCCTTCATTTGGTGGTTTCCAGAGGTTAATGAGAAAAAAGTGCTGTGAATCTTAATTGGTACTGGGAAAGGTTCGGTTTTAGGTCCAAGTATCTCCGCTCTTTTTTTCCATAACAACAAATATTACTGTGTATATATTGGCGTTTACCCTTGGCCGTCCCCATTGCGCTAGAGTTCCAACTTTCACTACTAAGTAGAAACGCTGGAGAAATGCATCACCTCAGTCTTTCACGAGGGGAAAATGCAAGAATAAAATGTGCTTCTTTCCCAATGAATTTTACTCTCTTAACTACAAAATTAGCCAGAGATGTGTGTGTGTGTGTGTGTGTGTGTGTGTGTGAGAGAGAGAGAGAGAGAGAGAGAGAGAGAGAGAGAGAGAGAGAGAGAAACGCTCTGGTTGTACTTGTCAGGCTTCTAGGAATTTTGGATATCGAGCTGAGAAATATGGATTTTATTCTGTTAAAATAAAAAAACATTGCCTACACTTTTTCCAGACTCTAGTTTGAAGATTTCTATGCAGATTTGCTAGACTGTACAAGATACCATACTGGGTTTTCTTTAAGTCTTTGTTATATATTTGAAATAGACGCTGTAGATTCCATGTTATTATCCTGGGGCTATTTTTGTATAATTTTTTTTCAAGTTTAATAGTGCCCATGATGGGACTGCAGAAAACAAGGGGCTTAATTAATCTATGAAATTATATCTAATCAGTAATTTAAAAAATACCCTTAGATTAAACTGACCTGGAAACCATAGACTTGAAGGCAGGCAGAATAAATACAATTTTTCATCAAGAATTAGGAACATAGACAAGATAGCAAAATATGAATTTGGCTTGTCCCAGTGAAGTACTTGTAAATAGTGTCGTTTTCAAGGTCACCATAATAGTTGTAATTCATTAACATCTATCATATGGTGGCCTGGGACAGGGCATTGCCTTTTGTAGTCTTCCATGATGTCCATTGGCCTCACTGCCACCCAAGATAAACAGTCCAAGTTAGAGCATGTCTTCGCTATGTAATTAAATACTTCAATGCAGGTACCTTACTGCCTCTTCAACAGCATTGCTATCTGTAAATCTTTTCTACATATAAATTTTGGAGCCAACGCTGACCATATTGCATTACATTCTATTAGACAACCTATATGTATTATTTTGAACCATAATAACCACCTTGTTTTCTGCATATTACTGTGAACATGTGAATCAGAAAGATTAGGTAACTTGCTCGAGATCACACAGCTAGATAAGAAACAGCTGAACCATGAAATTCCAAAGCTAAGTTCTGTAGGTAGTAGTCACTGATGAATTACCTCTGTCTGTCACATATGGGCCCAATTACAGGAGAATGTTAGTGTCTTGCTTTTTCTATGTTGTTATTTTCCTGTTAAAGCAACCAGCCACCTTGGTTTGGGCAGTGGAAATTTGAACTTCTTAGACTAAGTTGTAACTGTGAGCAGGTATTAGGAAGTAATTAGTTGGGGGTGGTCAGCTGGTGTACCTAAAAAGGAACTTCAGTAGTCATCTGAATGCTATACTAGAAAGCAGTTGGCTTCATGTACTCATATATTCTGTCTTGCAGAGAAGTTTGTCACAGTTCTCCTTCTGTATGAGAACAGACAAGAAACCTCATACTGCATCAATACCAAGAAAGGGGCAAAGTGCACTCATTTTAGAGGGGTTGAGTGTAGCTGCGGACCATGCAAGAACACCAGGGAAAGTAGTTGAGGATGTCCACTATAACTCTATTTCAAGGCTTCTTTCTACCCAATCTCAGCTAGAGCTCTATCCAGTTTTCAACTCAGAACTGTTTGTAGATTGAAAGATGCTAGCTAGTGCTGCTCAATAATCAAGGAGTAGGGGGTGTTCTGCTTAGTGGCTGCCTGATTGACACTTGTCCCTTGGAAACAATACCCAAGAGACTTAATATTTAAAAATTCTCAGTCCGGGCACTGTGTCTCATGTCTGTAATTCCAGAGCTTTGGGAGGCCGAGGTGGGAGAATCACTTGAGGCCAGGGGTTCCCGAGTAACATAGGAAGACCCCATCTCTCCAAAAAAAAAAAAAAATGGCCAGGCATGGAGGTACATATATGTAGTCCCAGCTCAGGACGCTGAAGCAGGAGAATTACTTGAGCCCCAAAATTTGAGGTTGTGGTGAGCCATGATCATACCACTGCACTCTAGCCTGGGCGACAGAGTGAGACTCTGACTCTAAAAAAAAAATAAAATAAAATTCTTATATATTGATCTGTTACCTTGAATAAGTTGTCAATGGATTAAGGTAAGGAGACAGAACATGGAAATGGGAAATTGTCTTTCCTATCTTTCACCTTTCTCTCTATTTTGCAGAGTTGTATTTGCATCATGAAAGCATTCATCTTCAAATGGTTTCTTGAAAATATATGAAAAGTAAAAGGACTATATTTTCTCCTCCAAATTTCTGGGATCCCTACCAGGATTCAGTTGGGGTTCTCCTCTTTGTGTGGGTACCTGTGAGCATGGCAGCTGGAGTGGACAAGAGGGAGGCTGTTATGTGTCTCTTCCTCCTTATTTCATGTGATGCTGCTCCAGAGGCCTGGCTTGAAAAAAGCAGGACATTCGGCTTAGACAGATGGAGGGCAGGGTCATTTTCAAAATGAAATGAGTGCACAGATCACACTGTGAAATTGGCATGACCATCACTGCTGCTGTGATAGACCGACTTTTATTTGGTCTCTGATAAGCATATGGGAAATAGATTAGTTTTTTGGGTGGTGGAGAAGGGAAAGGAGGCCCTTTAATTAATGATAGAAATTCTGGAAAGCAATAAAAAGGGTAGAATATCATAACATATCTTTTTTTGCTTATAACAAAATCTTGAAAAGCTGGAGCGTATATCAAAAAGTAAGTCTGTAATACCACTCCCAGCAGTAAGAAAGCATTTGGTATTTACAATAAAATGATTTAGTGCCTTATTGAAAGGAATTTAGCTTTCAGTAAATAGTTTAGGACTCACAGTAGATTTTGCTGAATAAGCAGAGGTATGTTCATGTAGAAGAATTCCATTTAGGTAAAATGTATAGGAGCAAAAAGCATAATGTTTGGCTGTTAACATGTTTATGTTTCTGCCTGCCAAAATAGGCATGTATATTCTATTTGGCAGTCTCTTTTAAAACTAATTGGAAGTGATTGTTTCATGAAAATAACTACTTCTTGCTGCTAAACATTGTTTATTTATGAGTATTTCAACCACAACTGTGGTCAGACATCTTCCTTAATAAAGGAAAGTGGTGTCTGAAAGACCACTTTCTACTTGTTATTTCTGTCCTTCCATTCATTCCAGGGCATTTTCTTTAGGCATTTCAGTTATGGAATTTAACTTTTTTCTCTGGTAGTTCCAGCTCTATTAATATTTTAAATAGTAATATATTTTCTTCTTAAATATGACTTGCTTTTGATAAATGGTTTTTATTTCAGGGTTTATGGTATTGCTATGGTTTGGATATGGTTTTTTCCCACGAAATCTTACAATTTGATTGCTAGCACTGTGGTGATGCAAGGTGTTTGTGTCATCGGGGTGGATCCCTCATGAATGGCTTGGTGCCATTCCAAAAGTAGTGATAGCTATTGCTCTCATGAGACTGGATTAGTTTTCGTGGAAATGGATTAGTTCCCACAAGAGTAGGTTGTTACAAGGCAAGATGCCCTTGGGTTTTGCCCCTTCACATATGTCCACTTCTTTGTCCTTCTACCATGTTACGATACAACACAAACAACCTTACTTGAAGCTAAGCAGATGCTGGCACAATGCTTCTTGTAATTCTCAGCCTGCAGAACCATCAACTAACTAAACCTCCTTTTTCTGTAAATTACTCAGTCTTGGGTATTTATTCTATTAGAGTAACACAAAATGGACCAACACAGAAAATTGGTTCCGAGGAGTGGGATTTGCTCTGTGGATACCTAAAAATGTGGCGTCTACTTTGGAACTGTGTAATGGGCAATGGTTGAATGAATCTGAAGGAGGAGCAGGCTAGAAAGAGACTGTATGCAATGAACAGAGCATTAAGGTCAGTTCTGGTGAGGGCTTACAAAAAGACGAAAAGATGAGGGAAAGTTTGGAACTTTTTCGAGATGGTTTAAGTGATTGTGACGAAAATGCTGATAGAAATATGGACAATAAAGCCCGTGCTGATGAGGTCTCAGATGCAAGTGCTGATGAGATCTCAGATGGAAGTGAAGAATATCTTACTGAAAAATTGAAGTAAAGGCCATCCTTGTTACACAGTTGCAAAGAAATTGGCTGCAGTATATCTTCTACTCCCTAGAGATTTATGGAAGGCAGCACTTAAGGGTGATGAACTTTTGTATCTGGTGGAAGAAATTTCTAAGAATAACATCACTCAAGACGTGATGTTGTTACTTTTAATAGCTTATGCTCAGT